CCCCCCCCCCCCCCCCCCCCCCCCTTAAATCTTCCGTCGCTAAAATACAATCACATAACTCCAGTTTCACACTTAACACACAACCATTAGATAGCTTTTCTCATCTCACTCGTGGAAAGAAAGTGTATTCAATTTATTTTCCATAGCCCAAAATCACAAATTACATATTTGCCTCAGAGGGCTTTATAATCTGTACACATACGACATCCTCTGACCTTTGACCCTCACATCAAAACAGGAAGAACTCCCCTAAAAAACCTTTAACAGGGATAAAAGAGGAAGAGACCTTAGAGAGAGTAACAGAGGAGGATCCTCTCTCAGGATGGAGTGTGATAGATGTCATGTGTACAGAATGAACATACCAGAGCACATTCAATGTGTATGACATAAATGATTCATATAATGAGAGTAGTAAGCAGAATAATGATGGGAAAATGATGACTACTAATAATAACAGCAGCAATGAATATATATATTTCCCACAATGTTGAACTCTGCCTTCAAAAGGTTCTTCGTTGAAGCAAAGGCCTTTGTGATACTGTTGTATTTTCATAGTTCTGGACTTCCTCCAGGTTATGTGAGGTGTGGATGCATGTGATGTGAAAACATTTAGCTGCAGTTTGAAACAATGTCATTCCTTCTATCAGTGCTGTCAGCAGCCTTTTCAGTGGCTCGTTCATTTCTGTGTCAGGGTGCAAAGATGACTTCCAGTGGCTTTTTACAGTGCCCATCTGTCCTCTGAGAGGATCCTCCGCTGTGCATCTCAACAGAACATGATAATGCGCTCTGTAAAATTCATTTGGGTCAAAGCTTCCTGTCTGGCTGGGACAGGACGTGGGAGGCCCTGGAAGCTTTATTTTGAAGGCAATGTAGATGAACTTATCTACAAGTTTTATTATTTGATCATACCATTATTATATTTGTCAGGGGACAGTGTTTACTCGGATTTTAGTGAGTAAATCAGACTGAAACTGTCACAACAGAGGAGACAAAACCGATTTGGTGCACATGTCCTCCCAGTCACCAGTGGGAAATTACACTTATGCGTTTGATTAATATATGAAATAGTTTGGAGCTTAATTTGATCATTATTTGTGTGCATCTGTCCTCACCTCCCTCCACCTCCCTACATTATAATATTGAGCCACAATATCCCCGGTAACACCTGGGTGATCAGCTTCAAGGGAAAGACAACCAGATCAGTGGATATCTTCCCCTCACGCTCCTCCTCTGGAATGAACAGGCCAAAGCACATGAAGAGTTTCTCTCTGAGAGAACAGATAACCATTTATTTATATCATTCACATCAAATTCTGGTGTTTTATCAGAAAGATTAGTGATAGTCATTGGTTAACACACACTTTGACAGACTGCATCCTCAGTGCATTAGGGGAAATTATGTTAAAAGGAAAAAGAGATGTCAGATCATTGTTTTCCCCAAATTGCATGAAGTAGCATGCCTGGATCTCTCAGCTCTCCTAACAGATGTGTTGTTGTCGCCCCCTGCTGTCCGCCTCCTCGACTCAGACCAGTCCAGACGACTTCATAGACGGTTCCTTCATCCAGCACACAGAGGAGCCTGACATAGACGTAAGACCAGCCCAGCTTGCAGTGAAATAGATGATAACATTCAAAGGAAGTGTAGTTCATGTCTGTGTGTGTATGTGTGTGTGTGTGTGTGTGTGTGGGTGTCAGACCAAGCTGAGCAGACTGTGTGAGCAGGACAAGGAGGTGAGGATGCAGGAGGAGAAACTGCAGCAGCTACACAGAGAGAAGGTACAGCCATCAGCACGTGCATTCATTGTTGTGTCTTTGTGTAGACTTGTATGTACAATAAGTATTTGTGTGTGTGTTGTGTGGCAGCACACTCTTGAGACGGCCCTGCTGTCTGCCAGTCAGGAGCTGAGTGAACAGAGCGGCTCTAATGCTGCAGCCTCACAGAGCCTGGTCCAGCAGAGAGACGTGCTGCAGAACGGCCTACTCAGCACCTGCAGAGAGCTGTCCAGAGTCACCACTGTGAGCACACCCAACACCAACACACCCAACACACTAACACACCAACAAACCCAACACACCCCACACACCAACACACTAACACACCAACACACCCAACACACTAACACCAACGCACCCAACACACCAACACACTAACACACACACACCAACACACCAACACACCAACACCAACGCACCCAACACACCAACACGCACACACTAACACACACTAACACACACACACCAACACACTAACACACCAACACCAACACACCAACACACCCAACACACCCAGACACCCAACACACCCAACACACCCAACACACTAACACCAACGCACCCAACACACCAACACACACACACCAACACACCCAACACACTAACACCAACGCACCCAACACACCAACACACACACACCAACACACCAACACACTAACACACCAACACACCAACACACTAACACACACACACCAACACACCAACACACCCCACACCAACACACCAACACACCCAACACCAACACACCCAACACACTAACACCAACACCAACACACCCAACACCAACACACCAACACACCCAACACCAACACACTAACACACCCAACATACTAACACACCCAACACACCCAACACACCAACACACCCAACACACCCAACACAACCAACACACCCAACACTGGCAGTTTACCCCATTTCTTGGTCATAAAATGTGTTTTTTGAATACAACTGCAACTCAAGAAATAGCTGGACTCGTATTTATCAAGCTCCTCAGAGTAGGATATCAGTCCTATGTGATCCAAGTTTCAAGTCTACCAGTAGGTCTTTGGAGCTTCCAGGAGATGGGGTTCAACAAGCTAATAGAAAGATGCCATTTTGGCAAAAGTAGATCATTTTTGTGACTGACCATGTGCAGGGTGCAAAATCCAGCATGTTTTTTCGTGCAGGGAAAAGTCCTGATTTTGTCACAATGTCACTAGTAATTGATTTCATTCCAAAGAAGATACTATGTGCAGAAAATGTAACCAGAGGGTCAAAGACCTCGGGTAAGTACATAGAGCTTCTTACTCTGGTTATATGTAAAGTATACGTTACGTTTGTCGGTTGCTGTTTGTAAACACACAGCATTTGAATTATAGCCAAACTTTGGCCACTCCTCCTCGGCTCAACGAGCAGCGAGCGATGGAAAGAGAGAGCAGCGATGGTCGAGCGAGCTGTAGAGGGACTGAAGAGAGGGGGCTGCATTAGTGACAGCAAAGCAGCCAATCTGTTTGTTTCACGTTGTTTACGTTCCGAAGCACCAATGAACACACCCACACCTCCACACAACAAAGGCTCTGCTGGTGTGTGTACCTCTGTATCAACAGACACACAGCTACTCTGCACACGGCAGAGAAGAGGAGCAGAGGACAACACAGTGGTGAAACAACCCGTCCTGAACACGGCCACTTTGTATCTGACAGAACTACAGATGCAGAGGGGCATGACAAATGGACCTGAACAAGCTGCTCGTCCTGCACTCTATTATTGGCTTGGGGTCACAGCCCCACGTGGGCCGCAAGTGCTCTTTGCTGACACCCCGAAACGTCCCGAACACGGCCACATAAGAAGAAAAGAGAAAGTCCAGGCAGTGGGCAGGGTCTCTGTAGATACAGACACCACCACACACTACTATGATTAGAGGGAAGACTGTTTTTATCAGTCTGCGCATTGCTTTTTGGAAAATTCCTGCCTTTTCTTTACCTTTGAGATGATAAAGGCACTTTTTGTCACGTTGGTGATGCCCTGATTTTCTGACCTGTGTGGTGCTTACTCCAAGGAGAGAGATGCTTAATGAGTACATATCTCTTGCCACAGTGTTGAGCACCAATAACTCTTTATTTAAAATATCAAGATAAATGGAAAGTATGGAGCCAGGTACAAGAATTCCTTTTGCCAAGTAGATGTTTGGGCACCCACACACACACACACACACACACACACACAGAGTCTAATGATCCTCCTGTTGGCTGATGTCCTGGTTCCAGGAGTTGGAGCGTTCCTGGAGGGAGTACGACAAGATGGGGGCAGATGTCACTCTGGCCAAGTCCAACCTGCTGGAGCAGCTAGAGGCCCTGGGCAGCCCACAGGTAACACGTACACACACTCACACACACCTTCGGGGGGTGATCAAGGTTTTAACAGCATTTATATCTGTGTGTGTGTGTGTGTGTCCTCAGACAGAACCTCCTAGCCAGCGGCACATCCAGATCCAGAAGGAGCTGTGGAGGATCCAGGACGTGATGGAGGCTCTGGCCAAAAACAAGCCACAGCGGAGCACAGACAGCAGTGAGAGTCCCCAGTAACACCTAAAGGAGCAGTGTGTTGGATTTAGTGGTATCTAGTTGTGAGGTTGCAAATTTCATCTGACTTAATACCCCTCCCTTTCCTAGCGTGTAGAGAACCGTGGTGGTCTTCAGGTAACGTAACACCGGGAAGGTCTCCCTCTAGAGTCGCTGTCTGGTTTGTCAGTTCTGGGCTACTGTAGAAACATGGCAGTTCAAAGTAACGGACTTCGTATGAAGATATAAATGACTCATTCTAAGTTAACGAAAACGCAACAATTAGTTTCAGTTGATTATGCACAAATGAAAACATAGTTATGAATATTACATATTACATTCCATTTCTGGCAATAAATCCCCCCAAATCCTACACACTGTTCCTTTAAGTCACATTCTCAGATTAACTTCATATTTATCTGATGGTTTGCTTTACATAAGCACGTGACTACAAATGCTTTCTCGGGTGTCTTTTATCGTAGAAAAAATTAAAGTTCTTTTCTCCATATCCCCATATTCAGCAGGTTTACCTGGTTCCAAACCACTCTCCAGTCTACAGAAGGATGAGGTGAGGCAGCGCCCAGCACACTCAGCACAGTACACCACACTCAGCTTTCATGTGTTTAGTCATTTTGAAGACAGAATGAGTCTGTAGTCTTGGTAGGGTTAGCAACCAACACCATAAAGCCGGCTGTCTGAGAGACACCTGCTGGCAGGCTAAGTCTGTTTGCTCAAGGGTTAGCATGCAGCACACGGCCAGTAGTCAGTCAGTTACTAGTTGTGTGTTATTTAACACAATTTACAAGACCCATACCAGATTAGATGAGATTTAATTTACAGGTCCTGAGACATCAACATGCAGTTCAGCCTCTAACAAGAGTGTTTCCATTGATTTCCATCTGACCAGGCAGCCGCTGGTTTCACTTTAATTCAGTAAGATATGAATCTGAAAACGTGCTTGACGTAACTAATCTATCAAAGTGACCTTTTTGCCAAATACAGGCAGTTGGTAATGCAGCAAATTTTATTTTTATTCTAATAAACAAACAAATTCATGATGACCTTTGTATGGTGCCCATCGTTGCCCATTACCTATTGAGCTCAGGTAATGGCTCTGTGCTGTACCGCTGGTCTTTCTGTTTGTGTTTGGTACAGACATGCAGACATTACTCTCTGCAGCTCCCTTCAGCTCTACGAAGCATCTTTCAGATCATTGTTTTGGTCTTACAGCTCACAACTTTACTGTTTTAGTTCCAGCAGCAGCAGCAGCTGTTCTGATCCCAACTCATCAGCATAAGTACGGTCCAGTAAGAGCCGATGATTTCCTTAGATGAGACCAGCTGTGTTAACTGTCAACAGGCAGTGACGCGGCTGCCACTCAGTTCTCTCAAGGAGGGCGACAGCGTGCCCCCCCGCCCGCCCCTCCCCCAGTACTACGACTCATCAGAGCACCCCCCTCACGTGCCCCCCCACCACTCGCACCCCGGCGGCCGCCTGCCCCCCCACATGCACCGTCCCGAGGATCGCAAGGGCAGCGCCAGGAACGGCGTGCACAGCGTAAGAGCCACTGAGAACCTTCATAACCTCCCATGTCTGCTCCTCCGTCCACATCTCTGCTTCACTGTGACCGCCAGCCATTAGCACCCCGAAGATCCTGTGGGCTCAACCATTTTTACATCCATGTGTATCATCTTCACCTTTCCAAACCACCCTAAAGGCTGACCTGATAGACACGGAGGAGACTCATTCCTAAACAAGCGCCATTCTGGATACATGCAAGTCATTTCAGTGTTGTTTTGCTTTTTACCCCTTCAACCCATGCTCCATTCAGCCGTCACTGTCATGGTCAGACCCATTCTGGTCCATACATGGATCTATTTGTGGAATTCCATTCTTATGAGGGTGATGTTTGATTGTATAGGTTTACAGGTGTGTTGAGTCTGTCTTGCCTTCTACTTTGAGTGTGCTCATTGAAAAATACTTTTTATAGCACCAGAGAACTCCCCCTTATTCCTGTACTACTGCAATGGCACTTATTGGTGCTATAAAGAACCATCCATCCATTATCTGTAACCGCGTATGCTATTTAGGGTCACAGAGTATAAAGACCCAATGTAAGGGATATTCATAAATAAATGCTGAAATACAACTTTTCCATGTAAAACTACCTGTCAAAATAATATAAACTTTTCAGGAAGTCTTTCCAATAAAATGACAATTGTTATAAAATGTTAAAGATTTTTCTTGTTAAGTTACAACTTTTATCTTGAAATATAACTTTTCTGGTAAAATGACGACTATCTCATAAAGACATTTCTCTTGAAATGGCGAGATCTTTCTCTCTTACAGTGGTCCTAATCTGTCATAAACTCTCTTTGTACTCTCTTGGCTGAGAAAATTCTTCAGCCTCAATAGCTCATGAAGCACTTTCTCTGATTCTGAAAAGTTGACATTTGGTCGATACAAGGTTTTCACCCATCACAGCAATAAGAAATAAGAATAATAAGCCCAGTGTGCTGTGGCACAAAGGCAGTTTTACTGCCTTTGTGCCACAAAGCCACACTGAATTAAGCAGTGATGATCGGCCCCTCACACCTTCTCGCCTGTCAGGTTCACCGGCGGGCAGACTGGACAATGTTGGACACTGGACAACTTCCTGTTTCATGGGGAATTGCGCAAAATGGCTGCCATTCCACGGCAAGATCGTTCCATGAAAACTCGAGAGTTTGTTAACTTTGCATTGTGAAGGTCTGTGGATTGTCCTGAAGTAGATCTAATGCATTCTATAAGAGGACCTCTTTAAAGTGCAGCGCCTGTAAGAAGCAAAAAAAAAGGCCTAAAATTGCACATGAAATGAAATGGCTGACTTCCTGTTGGGTTTTACTTCCAAGCGACTTTTTGTACATCTCCACATGTTACATACACATTCCATACAGCCACGGGACAGTAAATGGTGGGGCTTCGACTCTGAAAAATGTTACGGTGTGCTTGAGACACGCCAGAGCTCAAGAGCCAAATCAGATATGTGTTTTGTGAGGCATGTGCAAAATTTCATGAGTTTTCAAGCATCCCAAAGATACACTCAAAGACTACAAATAAAAAGCTTACTAATAATCTATTCAATTTCAATAAGGCTTCACCCAACGATAGCTGGTTGGTGCTCTAATGTGTGAAAGAGCTTCACTCTGTACTTAGTCTAACATGAGCCATTAGACGTCCATGTAGATAGAGTATGGCAACCAAAGAACCACTGACAACCCTGCTTTTCCTTAAAGTCCACAAGTGTGCGTGTGTGCACGCGTGTGTGCGTGTGTGTGTGTGTGTGTGTGCGTGTGTGCGTGCGTGCGTGTGTATTCTGACCCTGAGCAATCTCTCCCTCACAGCAAGCTCCAGACTACCGGCTGTATAAGAGCGAGCCGGAGCTGACCACGGTGAAGGAGGAAGGAGACGAGGCCAACGGTGAGGACAGGACAGAGAGCTCTGCTGAGAGTAAGGACACTTCAGCTTCAAAAGGTATAGTTATATATAGAGAGATGTAGCTCTAGACTCAGTCACGTGAAGCTGATGCTCCTTCACGTCTGCAGTGTTGGATGTTCATGCTGCTGATAATGTTTTTATGCTCCACTAAGTCCTTATTAGTTTGCAATAAGAACAGATCATGGTGTGTTTCTTCATCTAATCATCTATTTTATTCCACCAACATAAATAGTTCCGCAGCTGGAATGTTGCTCAGCAACACCTGAACATGTACCTGTTTGATGACAGCACGTTGTTCTATGGTTCCTTTGTCTCCATGAATGTTCTCCACTTACCTGTTAGGGAGCTTTCAGACGATGTTTGGCGACTCATTATGAATCACGATTCACCACATGGTGCCTGTATGTTTGTATAAAGATGTCCACTCACTGCCGTGATGTCCCAGAAGGCTTCTGTATGCCAGAGGCTCTCAGCTGTGGCGTGTAACACGTGTGTTCCTGCCTCTTTGCACATCCTGGGTAACATCTGTGACAGCTCTTTTATTCTCAGGACACAAAGCTGTGGGCGTAGGTTTGCATAGGGTCCATAGGGACTAGTCACGACCAAAGTTTGGGAAAGACACAATTGTCCCCACCAATATTTTGTTAATTTCAATTGCCTGTTAGAAAAAATAATTTTGCACAATATATTTGCAAACTCATTCGTATTATTATTAGTGCTGGGCAAGTTAACGTGTTATTAACGCGTTAACGCATTAATTAATTAATGCCGACAATTATTTTATAGCACGTTTTTTTATTTTGAAAGTCTGTTGCTCACTGGCAGCGGTGGAGGAATGGAGACTACTGGACATCGCTGTGGTAAAGTCAGCAGACACTCAGATCTCCGTGGTCAACTCAGCAGACACTTACACTTTAGTGCACCTATATGCTGAAATTCACTAAACACATTCAAACGGCACAGATCGGGAGCGAGCGAAGGACTTTGAAAGGTAGCGGAAAGATTAACGTGAGACAACATCCGGTTTCTTCAGACGAACATCCGGTTTTCAGAATAAGATGCCAACAAAGTATGAATTATATTCACATTAAGTATAAAACATGCTACCTGCATCTCGTGAGTTAAAGGGAAAATACACCTAAATTGTGCGTAAAGTGTCTTTATTCTTTGATCGCTGGGTAACCATCATCACCTCTGAGTTACAGCATCGTAGTGATGAAGAGTAGAGCTGG